TTATCCAATGAATTACATATATCTACCAATCCAGTGACACCTAGCTATGCATTCACACGGCTTACCCATAGCCACAGTCATTCACTTTATCACACCTTACCCATCATTCACAGCCTTGCTCACATACCTCTAGCAATCTAAATATTGAGAGCTATCATCCCACCCAATCGCATAGTTCTCCACCACCAAAAAGCTATATTTATCCACCAATACAAATTCACCGACCCACCCATCTCCATTTTCCACATACATTATACACCACATTATATGTAGGCCGTCCTACACACTTAACACACAGGAGCATATACACAAATTATATATGCAGTCACACATTTTTAACAAAACTGCTCCTGTGGAAAAGGGAGAACTATTCAGATGTATCTGTATCCAGCAATGTAGAGTCCTGCACCCGACTTCCTGTGACCCTTTGCTTGCCCCGTTTAAACCCATTGGCTTTTGCTCACAGATTACTCTGTTAGGTTTAATAGATGGAGCCATTATGCAGCAGGAAGATGGATAGAATGATGCAAAGATCACAGTACAGATGAGGGTTAGACAAAAGCGTAGTTAGCAATGCAGAAGGGCAGGTCAGGTGGCACAGGTTCTTAAACGATTAAACAGGTAAAGGTCAAACACCACAAATTAGAACTACAGTAGGAAAGGAAGTTAACACCACTATGAGTGAGGTATAATAGGAGTACAGCTGTTAAATAGAGAGAAGAGACACTACTCCTTGTTACTCCCACCCTCCCTACACCACTTTTTAGATGGAGAGAAAAAGACCCGCAGCAGATTTGAATCGGTGAACAGGCTGAACCAAGAGATCAGGGAGGTGAGCATTGGTGCGGCGCCTCCAAGTAGAGAGGGGAAGAGGCAGTGAGAGAATGCGCGGTGAGGTAATGTGCGGTGAGGTAAAGGGAGCGCCTCTCAGTTTCCCCCATCTTAGGTGTTGTCTCCGAACACATCCAGGTGCAGAGCATGGAGGGTGTTGAGGATAGAAACATCTGAGAAGCCGATGTTCTCAACAGGTTCCTTGAGGAACTATCCTCAAGGCCATATCCCATACAATAGGTCACCAGAAAAGACAACAGGTTCGGGAGGAATAAGGACTTACACATAAATTTGGACCCAATTTCTTCGTGGAACAGGGAAATTTCAGATTCTTCGTTGATCCATAAAGAATTGACGAAACACCACGGGGATAAAGTTTTGACTGTCTGTTTATTGAATTATGACAGAAATTATGACAGAAATTAGTTCCACAAGTTCAGTGCCAATGGCCAGTCATTTTATGGGAGCTCTTGGCTTTCCCCCTGGCTTTCAGGGAGCTATTGTTCAGCAGGGTCTGTTGTATCTTCACTCCAGTTAGCGCTCTCCTGGACTGAGCAGAAGTAAGGGAAACCAAAGATGGAACTTGATAGGGAGGGGATGCTTATTGTGGCCAAGCTGGAGTTCCAGACAATTTCAGCTAGGTCCCGCTGGAGACCTAGCAGCAGGCCCAGACTGGCCATCGGCACACATGCCCGGTGGGCTGTGATGGCCATGGGCCGAGGCCGGCTGAGGAGGTCACAGGATCGCCGGCCCTGCTGTATTCCACGACTGGCCGATGGGGAGATCTAGGATCTCCCTCACCGGCCCACAGGCAGTGTAATGCGGACGCCGGCTGGGGGGGGGAAACAGAAGAGGACCCAGAGGATCTTGCAGCTCCGCCGGGTTCCTCTCGTGAGTTCGGAGCTTTGCCATGGCAACGCCCCTGATCTCGCGAGAGTCAACTCTAGTCCTGCAGGCTGGAGTTCACTCACCTCTACAACCACCAGGGATTGCAGTATAGCCCCCCTCTTAGGCTAAAGTAAGAAGGGAGGGGGGTTATAATGCTTGTTTTTTTTTGTTTTTTTATTTAAAAAAGAAAAATACATATATAGTGGCATTAATCTGCCTCCCCTCCAACACACAATCCCACACATCACACACATGCGCGCACACGCACAGCAACCTCCCACTCACAGCATCCTCACACAAACTACACACCCCTCTCTCACACACCCTGCGCACTTCTCTCTCACACACACAGAACCCCCAACACACTGCACCACTCACACACATACTGCATCCTTCACACACACACTACACCCCTCAACACACTGCACCACTCAAAAAAAATAAATAAATATATATATATATATATATATATATACACACACACACTACAGCACCACACACACACACATTACATTACACTCCAGACACACACTAGATCCCTTACCCAACTCTGGATCATCTACACACATATACACACTAGATCCCTATATACACTCTGAATTATCTTTATACACATACTCACTAGATCTCCTAAACACATTCTCTGTCCTTCAAACACACACTAGACCCCTACACATACACACTGCACCACCTGCACACACACTACATTCCTGACATACACACTCTGGATCTCCTATGCACACACTAGATTAATTGTAAGCAAACATAAACACACACACACACACACACACTACAGCCCATATACACACACTATGCCCTCTATACACATATTACACCACAAACACAAATGAAATAGACCTATTTACACAATACCACAACACAATCAGGTCACTCTACATACACACAAAATCCCACAGGTAGGCTCAAAACACATGCACAATATTCTTTCCTGGCCCTTTTGTCTCCTGGTATCCTATTTATAGAGACAAGTTGCAAGTAAACACAGCACAGGCATGTTATTAAAATTGCTTGCACTGTGCAGAACAAATACAGGGCTTTTTTCTCATGCTAGAGCTCTTCAGCAAAGCTCTGCGCATGGTCTGCCCTGAAAGAGCATTGAACCAACATGCTCACTTTGAGAGGGGGCGTGCTTGTCATTGATGATGACAAAACACACCCTCTCTGCCCCACCCCCTTCTTATTGGGCAGCTATGATTTAAAAAATGCCTGGGTCGAATTTTATTCCCAGTCCGGCCATGCCTTCCTGGAACTGTCAGCAGGCACGGTGGAGAATGAGCGCTCAGATGTAGTACAGGGAGAGAAGGTGGAGAAGGTCAAGGTTAGTGTTATAGTCTTTTGAGAGTACTTTTACTTTCATAAGGCAAGTACTGCAACAATGGGATTGGCTGAGATCATCAATTCAGATCGGAGGCAGAGACGGTGCCTGCAGACCCGTGGAGAGCTGGAAATAAGGTAAGTTTTAACCCTTTCTAAGGGGGGGAGGGCAAGCCGCTTAAATGGTAGTTTTATCACTATAGGGTCAGCAATACATGTGTGTGTGTTCCTGACCCTATAGTTTTCCTTTACGTAGAGGGCCCTTTTTTACAAAAACTGATTGTGGTAAAAGTGTTGTGACAGTACCGTAACAGTGAGATTAGATCAACTCAATAGCAGTCTGTGAAGAAACTACTCTTTGTATTCAGTAATTTAGTTTCTTCGTTCGGTAGATAAAGTACTGAACACCGTATAGTGCTTGACTCATTTTTTTTTTCCAGGCACAGGGGAAGGACTAAATTATTTTATGTAGGAGTGTCCTGGACCTGAGAGCCAATGTAACTGCAGAATGTATTTTGCCATTGTCCCCTCTCAGGTCCAGTGGGGAATGCCCCTGGAATATGTCACCATAAACCCTGTATATTTGTAACTGCATATAAACCAGCCAGTTGACCTAAATAAAATCACTCCTGTTGTACCCTTCATCTAGTCTAGGCTGATGTTTGGGTATCCGTCTGATTTGCTTGGTGAATATACTTAGATGCTTTATTTCGTCTGGAGAGCGTTCAAATCAACACCCGAACTGCGAACTATAAATCACTCAGCCTCTAGCTGAGTATCTGAAATACCAGCATTTGCTACACAGTCATTGAAGGCAGACCTCTCAAGTGACATTCCTGGGTTCTGTTCTACCAGACAACGTGGTTGCACCATGCAGACAGTAGTTCGACAGCGGTCTATGCACAATCTGCTTAGAGTGGAGCTGGCCAGGAGGCCATCTGTCAGCCTGGTTTGCATTCACTTCAGGCTGACAAGCTCCTTCTGGGCATTGCCAGTGATGCAAGTTGTGTCACTGGCACACCACTCTAGGTCCAGCCTCCCCTATCCTGCTCTCATACCTCTCAAGATGGGAGGTATGTTACCATGTTGATAATTACCAAACATTAGATTGTTAATTACCCTACAGTTTAAAAACATCTTGTACAACAATTATGTCATTGTATTCCATCCCTGGTATATGATATGCAAGCCATGGATAGAAAACTTTATTTAATCATGGGGAAAAAAAGAAAACTCACTGAAAGTCCTTGACTGATCAATAAATATGGTCCTCACATTCTGATCTTGGGCCCAATAACCAATCGCCTCTCATGCTGTGTATTACCAAGCCTCTGAATGGTGTGTCCTGATTCAGGCTGTCACAGGCAATTTATTGTCCTTTCAGCGTGTAGAGATTGGCTCCATACCAATTCCTCTTGTGGCAAAATTGATTGTTTTCTTCTCTTTCAGTCTGGCTGAATACAGGAGGTGTCACAGCCATTTGCTTCCAGTCATCTGCATTAACCTCTATGTATCTAGAGGGACCGGTTACCAGTGGCTGTTTTTGTACTTTGTACTGAGTATTGCTGACCAAATGATTAATCTTTTTTTTTTTTTCTCCTTTCTATAATTTCATATGTGCATTTAGTATTTTACAGTATTGTACTGAGGCATTGTTGGTCATTCTGCCCCTGCCCACCTGTAGCTGCTCTAAAATTTTCATTAACCTTAGCCAGTATAGTCTTAACTGAGATTGATTGGAGTTGCAGCCTAGTAGCAGCTAAGGACTAAAGCAGAGGCAATATCAGTTGTTATTCAAAATTAAATAAATGTTGTAATAAATTATATGCAAGTTGGCTGCAACGGGCGAGTTTAGAATTAAACTACAGGAATGATTTAGTAATATAAGGGAAGAAGTGCGAGAGAGCAGGAAACATCTGATTATCTTCTCATTTTGACCACCACAGATTGCTGACCCCAATACTCCGCTTAATTGAGATTGAATGATTATTAAATCACGTTTTCATTGAGGATTCGCAAAGTTTGATATTGAATCTTTATTGTCAAGTCTGATGTGGTCGGAGCCCCATGAGACACCAAGGTTTCGGTCTTAAAGAAACACACCAGGATAGACGTTTTGCCACAATTTCTATTTTATCATATGTCGTGCATAAATTGTACCCCCAAATATTTTTTTAAATTATAGAAGCTATGAGGCGGAGTCTGACTGCCAAATCGAATGGTCGCATGAGTCTGGAGCTCGGGACCGCAAGTTCGATAACTAACCCGTTTTCTAAGACCCAGACTGGACCTACGGGACCCAACAACTCTCCCGGAGTCCACAACCCAGATGGGGAAAAAAACAAAAAATCAAGACAAGAACCAGTCCCGAATGGGTATGAACATCGGGGATTTGTGGCGGCGGGCTTAGGGCGCTCAAGGGCCTAAGATGGCGGCCACCACTTGGGACTGCTCAGACCTCTCGGACGACTTTTCCTGTGGATCCGAAGAGGGCTACATACCGGCTCAGGTCCTTCCGGCCACAAAACCGGACAGCCTTGCTCCTGAAAGAACTACTGACGGACTTGCAAAAAAACCTACAGGCAACAGGCACAGACTTGAAAGGCCTGTCCGGCAGAATACGAGCACTAGAAACCACCTCACTCTCAAGCAAGCAGCAGGTTACCACCCTCCAGCAAAAGGTCAAGGCTTTACAACTATTAAACAGCTCCTACGAAGGATGCTTTGCCGCCCTTGAGGACTCCTGCCGCTGGAACAACATAAAAGTAAGGGAGACCCTGACAATGTACCTGATGCGGAGCTCCCACACGTGGTGAGGAGACTAATATCGACCCTGCTAACGACCATACTAACCAAAACCGTAGAAACAGAGGGCATATTCCGAGTGCCCAAACCTGCCAGGGTGCCTGCCTGAGTCATGAGAGACTTAATTGTACAATTCGTAAGAGGACAAGATAAAGCTGCTCTCCTAAAAGCACTGCAGGGCAACTCACCTTGCGCCTTTGAAGACATGACCCTGACTTTCTGTGTAGATCTGAGCGGTAGTACCATGGCATGGCATAGGGAGATGTGGCCGCTTACCACTCTGCTACAAAAGCACATCCTCAGCTACAGATGGCGCCCTTCCAGGGCCCTGTCAATCACCCAGGGGACTGCAACCCACATTATCCGGGACCCCTAGTGAAATCGCAATGACCCTGCAGCGACTTGGTATCCCACAACACCCCCTCACCACAGATGCCCCAGAAGCAGCACAAAGTCCAGCGCAAAGTCCAACTCACGAATGGAACCTCGGCAGAATTTGTGCCCAGGCAGGCTGCCCAGAGCACACAGGGCAAAGCCAAGACCTGACTTTACAAGGGACTGCCCCACACGGGCCCAGTTCAGGACTCAAATATTTTTTTGCTGCCCACCCCACGCAAGGCATATTAGACCGCAACCAGACACACAAATAGAGCAAACCGTGCTTATTACGTTTCCGCAGACAGGATAAACTGCGCTCTCCACTGCTTCCCCCCCCCCCCAGGGGTTACATGGACTAGGAAAGCATATGCCACCCACTGGTGCCTACCAACCTGAAGCACAATCACAGCCTCTGACCCCTTTTGATAGCTCCTTTTAATGGAGCTATTAAAAGTAACGATGAGCGCAAGTCACTGAGGGCACCAGACTAAGAATACAACGGGTCATGTTTTCTGTTTCATTATGTTGTTTTTTTTTGTTTTGTTTTTTTGTTACTGTATATATAGTTATTCACTGACGGTAAGCAACTCTCCTATCACACACTACACCCCTTGGGGGCAAAAACAGGGGACTCAACAAGTGAGGAACATAGCACAGACACGCCTACTTACCCTGCAGCCTCAGATGCATACATTCCTCCAAATGACTTACTCCCCACACACACAGGGACCACAGAGCACAGCAAACAGCACAGCAGCGCTCACGCAGTGACCAGGCATACAGAGCACACAAACGCTTTTACCTACACATATGCTGAACCGTACACTGCTTAAAGTTGTCTTTACTGTTCATTAAATTACAAAAATGTGCTGTGTTTAATTATGCCACGAAAATGTTTTTATACGTTGCATATGATTGCGTCTGTTATGGCTATTGTGGCTACACAGACACTGTTGTAAATTCTTGCACAACAAAAATAAAGAATAAAAAAAAAAAATTATAGAAGCTATCCCCCAGGATTAGCAGCTGTTGAAGTAGACTCATTGTTGATGAGTAAAGTGCAAAAAATATTCCAGCCAATCCTGGCTCTCACTATGTTCAGTAAGAGAGCAAGAGAGAGCGAGTGAGCGTCTTGATTTCAGGGTTCTGTCCTACTGTGCTTTTGGAGACACCAAGGAACTGTCCTGAGGGCAATAGGGCCCTGCAGAGTGCTGAAACAATGCTCCCTGCATGGTCCACCTTTGGTGGGCTGGTCTTCTTCATAGTCATAGTCTGGCATGCATTCAGCTCAGTCTGGGATCCAAAAAGAGTTACCTGCGCTCTATTCCAAATCCCTGCACATTTAAATTACTGGAGGTTTTTTAGTATCACTCCAATGGCCATTTGAGTGTAAGCTCATGTCAAGGCAAACCAAATAGGTGAGTCCTATGTCAACAACTGACCTTGCTCAGTCTGATCTGCCAATTCTTTTGCCAGCTATCTCCTTCCCCCCCTTTCCAGGTGGTTCTTCCCCCTTTGGGAGAGACATGTCACTGGCCCACCCCACTTTTATCTCATTCACTGGCATCTTGCTTCAAGGGACGCTGATGTTGGGAGGTTAGTTAAGGTGGTCCCCCAAATGTAGGGGAGAGAGATGGGGAGGAGGGAGAGTCACAGGGAAAGGGGGGAGGGAGAGAGATGGGGAGGAGGGAGAGACACAGGGAAAGGGGGGAGGGAGAGACACAGGGAAAGGGGGAGCACTTAATAGCTAGTTGTCTTTGAAGTAAATGAGCCAGGAGGGTGGTCGGGGTTCGGTAGTTTCAAACTACCAAACCAATCCATTCAATATACAAGCATTCACATGTAAAATACTGAATAAAAAGGGAGAAAATAACAGGTAAAAGTTTATTTTCTTCACAGGGGGGAGGAAGAGAGATGGGAAGAGGGGAGAGAGACACAGGGAAAGGGGGAGGAAGAGAGATGGGGAGAGGGGAGAGACACAGGGAAAGGGGGGGAGAGATGGGTTGGAGGGAGGGAGAGGGGAGAGACACAGGGAAAGGGGGAAGAGATGGGTTGGAGGGAGAGACATAGGGAAAGGGGGGAGGGAGAGAGATGGGGAGGAGGGAGAGACACAGGGAAAGGGGGTGAAAGAGGCAGAGGGGGAAGAGAGAGACAAAGAGGGAGAAATGAGAGAGACACACAAGGGGAGGGGAAGAAAGAGGCAGAGGGGGAAGAGATAGAATGGGAAGGAGAGGGGAGACATTGACACAGAGGAGCAGTGAGGGGGAGAAATAGAGGACCCAGGGCAACACTCCGGCTCTCACAAGGGTGAACTCTAGCACTTCCTGGTGGTCGCAGTAGTAGGAGTGAACTCTAACCCCATACACACTGCCCCCACACACACCATACACACCATACACACACACACCATACACATTCACACACTGCCCCCACACACACACACCATACACATTCACACACTGCCCCCACACCCACACACTGAACCTTTCACACACATTGCACCCCTCACACATTGCACCACTGCTCCTATACCCTACTACAGCCCCATATCCCAGCAGACTCCAGGTAAGTTGTCAAACTGTTCTTAAACGGTTTGACTACTTACTCTGGGAGGGGGTGCCGACACTCCTGGCACCATAACCACTACACAGAGGAGTAGTGGTTATTGTGCATGGAATATTTCTTTAAATAATCTACAAGTGCCCCTCCCGGGCTCAGGCTCTGGATCCGTCACTGGTATATGACATGTATATTAATGTGTACATTAGATAGATATAGATATATATATATATATATTATATTTATTTACACATATTAATGTACATTTATATATGCATAATACACAGAGGAATGTCATTAATATGTACCATATGTAATGAGCAGATATTGGCCCAGTCTTGTTGCTAGGTGCATACTCCAGCACAATAACATATTTAAAGTGAAGAGCGCACCCACAAGACTTCAAAATAAACATTTTTTATAGTTGTGCCCTACATACATTCACCATTTCAGTCCCATTAACAAGTTTTCCTTAATATGTCAAGGTGGTTGGACTGAAACATTGATTACATGCAAAGGCACATCTGCTTAAAATAAATCTGCACTTTTGTTTATATTGAAGCCTATGAGTGCGCTTTTTACGTTGAAGTACTTTTTAATTTTAAGTTATCTGTTCTAACTCTGTATCTGCACACTATGCTGGCGCGACGCATGATGGGGCTGGTAAATATTTTTTTTCCAGGGCTGCTTTTAATTCCCAGTCCGGCCCTGTATATAGCACCAGACCCTTGCGTCAATTTTATGTCCTTGCCGAATATGCAGAACTTCAGACAGGATGTCAACCAATAAACATAAAAAGGCTCTGAGGTTGTATCTCATCATTTAGGTTTGGTTAGATTCAGAATGAAGTTAGTGCGACCTGGTGAACATAATGCTGCTTCCAGAATGATGCAGCTGAGCATTACAGATTGATTCGGCACTGTTTGTTTGCAGCCTTTTCTTTTTTGGAAGAATTAAACGTGACTACTGTATAGATTCCAAGTCAAGGGAATCTTACAACAGCATCACTTTCGGAAATTAGTCCACAATTGAGTCCAAATTCAACTCAGAATCCAGAGGCTGTTGCCGAATTGATGTAGATGCATCACTAAAAGTATGTTTCCTGACACAGAAGCATTGTGCAAAAGTATTTTTTTTTTGTTACTTTATATTAATAATGTCTTATATATACTATGTAATAAACAGAGAGTCATCTCCAGCCTGGATTGTCTTGTTACAAATAGCTTTAGCAAAACTTAATATATCGCATTCTTTGACCTTGATCAGAGATCAAGGATCGACCTTCTAAAACAGCTTATATGGAATTATCAGATAAGAGTGACTGTGCCACAGGATGTTATTTTATTGATAAAACCATTTGTTTTCAGAGGCTTGAAAAGAACATAAACGACTTTCACTAGGGGTAAGAGTAGATAGTT